CCTCTTCTCTTCCTCTCCTCCTTTCCTCTTCTCTTCCTCTCTTCCTTTGTCCCCTATTACTATGTACACATCATGTGTTTAGTGGTTTGACCCTTTAAGGCTCCAATCATATGAAGCTGAAGTCGCAGATCCTCGGTCACATGACCAAGGAGAAGTTGGATATTTGCAGGAGACTCATTTTAGGCTCCCTGAGCTCCTCCCCTGTGTCACCCGTTATTCTACAGAATGGTACCACGGGGGGCCCCCTGACGCCACATCTCAGGGGTCTCCATTGGTGTCTATAGGCCCCCTCAGTGTAGTGGACTCCGGGAGCGACCCCTTTGGCCGCACATCCGCTTCGTGTATTGTTACTAATATGTACTCAGCTAACTCCTCACTTCTGTTTCCTTCTACTTCACAGCTTTCGACTCGTCCGCTGAGGGGGAGATTATTGTGGGCGGCGATTCCCCAGACTGGATTGTTCCATTTCTCACACTGATCTAAGCCGCCTCCTCCATGCCACGTATGGAGCGATGGCGGCCCGTACACCCCCCCGGGGCATTGAACTCGTATAGACGATATCTTTGTTACGCAATCGCGGCAGGAAGAGACTCCTTCTGGTTGTGTTGCAGCAAAGGTGTGGCCCTCATCCTCCCGGATCTGGTTCTCTTCACTCATCCAACGGGCCTCCTCGGCCTCCCTCTATTGTCGGGTTCTGTACGTTGCGCTGAATTGCGGCAGACTGTTTGTATGCAGCCGATACAGAGGGAAGCAGTGACGTGCCCCTGCGAGGGGTCCTAATAAAACATGGAGCCCACCCTCAGAGTCCATGGTAGAGGGGGAGGTGACAACGCCGGCATTGAACTTTCTAATACACATAACGCAACGCGACAGATTTCTGAGGTCCGGAGGGAGGAGGCTCCATACTATCTCACACATTGCCACCTCCCTGAGGTCCTCTACTCGGGGGCGGGACATTGCCACCTCCCTGAGGTCCTCTACTCGGGGGCGGGACATTGCCACCTCCCTGAGGTCCTCTACTCGGGGGCGGGACATTGCCACCTCCCTGAGGTCCTCTACTCGGGGGCGGGACATTGCCACCTCCCTGAGGTCCTCTACTCGGGGGCGACCTCCCTGAGGTCCTCTATTCGGGGGCGGGACATTCCAACTCTGACACACTTCAAACCTTTAGGAGTATTATTCTCAACTATATAATATTCCTCCCCCGCTCGTCTCTGTGAATCTCCGAGCCTGAAATGAGCCACAACGCTGTGCTGGGGGAGGGATCAATGTATGTGGTGGGGGAGGGATCAATGTATGTGGTGGGGGAGGGATCAATGTATGTGGTGGGGGAGGGATCAATGTGTGTGCTGGGGGAGGGGAATACAGGGGAGAGACCAATGTGTGTGCTGGGGGAGGGATCAATGTGTGTGGTGGGGGAGGGATCAATGTGTGTGCTGGGGAGGGACCAATGACAGATGATCACTCCCAATCTGTGGGATTCCAATGCCCATCATCCCCCCAGAGGTGCGGAGGCGGGTGTAAGAAAACATAATTTAATATCGATGTGTCATATATACAAGTGAGGAATTTACATTGGGAAGTCGAGCCGTCAGATTGTATAATAAGACAAATAAAACATTTCTCTGTAAAATGAGAATCCGGAAACACGACTCGATCTGCTCGTTCAGTTTGCAGCGGAGCCTCCGGGACAGCTTGAAAAATAGAACTCTCCCTCCGAGCCAGAAGGGGCGGGGCCAGAAGGGGCGGAGCCAGAAGGGGCGCTCTGTGTTCTGTGTACATAGAAATGTTCAGACATTGCAAAAACTGACTTCCAAAAAGTGCTCCCCCCCCCCGGACCGGGCACAGGGTGGTGCCGCCCACAATAGAACGCAGAACTCCGGCATCCAGGACTTGTTCCGGGAACATTGTAGGGATCGGATGAAATGAAAGGTTAGTACAACGTCTTGGAGGAGGAGGAACAGAAGAAAACATGCACTACACTAATCGTATCCAAAACTGCCGATCCGGGATCGGAAATCCTTCCGCGGAGACCCGCAGGTTGGGCTTTCCAGTGTGCTGATGTCATACAGTCCCCACCCCCGAGGGCCTCTGATGCCATACAGTCCCCACCCCCGAGGGCCTCTGATGCCATACAGTCCCCACCCCCGAGGGCCTCTGAGGATTCAGGAACATCTCTTCTGCTCTTCATTCATCTTCTTCCACTTCCTGCGGTGCCGCCTGCACATCCGCCTGGGAACATTCACTGAAGAAGCGCAGCAGCGTGCTGTAGAGGTGAAAGCGGCTCTTCTCCGATGAGATCATGTGACCTTCATCTGGATAGACCTGGAGGAGAAGAAAACGCAGGTCAGGTATCTTCTGTGAACATCTCATCACCTAACGGGGCCCAAAGCCTGGACACTGAACCCCCATACTGTGCCCGGGCCCCATGGAGACCGCAGGGGTGCCAGGGCCCGGCCTGTGAGTAACCACAAAGCGCCATCATTCCAGCAGAGGGCCCCGGGCCCGTCAGGGAGGCTGCATTGTGGCCCCAATCATTTCTAATGGTGACCCCGGCCATAGAAGATGAGGGGGGGGGGTTGCATAGTGTGGGGTATACTGACAGCAGTTCCCTATTTCTCATGTCAGCTGACGTCTGGACCAATGACCCCAATGCATAGAATGCGCCCGGCAATAAAGGGGAAGAAATGATACGGCTGAGGGCCATAACTATGTGTGATGGGGCCCCTAAGGAAACCCGAAAGGGCCCCTCTGTCTCTCTAATCTCCATCTCAGAGGAGATACTTTTTTTAACACTATTGTTAACTTTTTGACTGACTGGAGTCTGATAGTTTTGGGCCCCTGATGCCTCCGGGCCCCATAGCAGTTGCGTAGTCTGCTATCACTATAGTTACATCTTCGGTTGTAATATCAATGTGATGACTTGTTATTATTATTCCTCGGCTATACAAGAACTGAATCATCATAATCAATGGCGCCATTCACATCTCCGCACATAACGATCACATTGTGTACAGCCCGGG